CGTTCCATGGACAGGGAGGCTCAGGAGCCATGTTAAATATCCTTTTTCAAATTCTATGACAGCATAAAAATTACTTTTGTGATGTTTGAGTAATTAAAGCAGGCTTACCTTGTTCAAGGTGCGGACAGCAGCAAATCTTAAGACTGGTTTAGAAGAACTTAAGAATAGCTGTAGAACAGTAATTGCTGGAGTTAATTCTCGGCTTGTTACACCATTGAGCTCTGTTATTGCCCTGGCCGCTTCAAAAATCACCATCTCCGACTTGTGGCGAAGGCAACTCTCGAGATAGTCATAAAAGGGGCGTTCCCCTGACTGTGTATTATTGCCCGATTCACGAATAACCTACATATATGGTGGAAGATAAATATAAGAAAATAAATATCATCCCAGTACTAAATTACACGTGAAAGGAAACACACCTGACTTGTGTAACGGATCAAAAGGCACTGTGCTAAAGGTGAGCGAACACTTCCCCTTGTCAAGCTGGTAACCAGCTTGCTAACTGCTAGCCGATCATTCTGTCGAATCTGCAATGGTTCAAGTCACCATGTACCACTAACTCTCTTTAGAATTTATACTTGTATTTTGTATGATAAGGAAGTAGGCTTCCAAGAAGGCAACATTAATTAAAATGACGTGCCATAAAAAAATTATATGACTTTAAAGGAATAGAAAATAATTAATAGAATTTTCCATCATGGTCCAGCTTGAACTGTAATTATACAAGATAATTACATTAGACATGTAAAGGTTCAGATAGTGCAAAACTTTACAGCAGTATATGATCAATTCAGGCAACTTTCTACTTATTTATCAGCATGTGGTTCAAAGCATCCAAAACTTGAAAAACTTGAAGAACCATATAAACAGATATCTAGACAGATACTCTACCTTGAAAACTTTTCACTGTACCATAAGAAGCAACCACTTCTAAATTGATGCTGAAGTTGAAGCTAGAAGTATAACTATGATATGCTAAATAAAATTAGCCATAAAAGAAAGTATGGTAACATAACATGGACCAGGGACCAAACAAAGAAATATTAACTTCTTCGGGTGAAGTTTAAGAAGTTTTGTTTTCTTGTCGTATAGTCAAATTCAACACTCACGTATCTGAAAGAAATGTACTTAATTGCTGGAAGTTGTTTTGGAAAGAATGAAGAGAAGCTTATTCATGATGTTCAGCTGTGATAAGCCTTGAAGTGTAGTGACTATTCAAGAAAATGCACCAGCAGTAGAAAGATACAAGCCAGCACGCAAACCTTGATACACTAAAGGACCCAAGAATGATGACAAATTTCTGAGGTGCTTTAATACACCAAAATACTCTACAGAGCCAAATGATTCTGGAAGCATACCTGATGTAGCAAAGCCAGTGCATGAAATTGTACAAGGGCTGCTCTTGATTGAACAGCTTCCTGAACCTCATTGCTCCATCTTTTTACAATTTCAGGATTCGTCTGTAAATGGGAACTCGAGTAAGCAAGCAGCATGCATGGATATGAGGATATATAGAATTACAAAAAGAAATTAGTATGAGTATTACCTGGAGTAGATGAATGCCACTAATTAGAGCAGCACTTGCAACAACTGGATTTTTATCTACAATTGCTTGTTTCAAATACCGCTCAATTTGTGCAAGGAGGGTTCCATCAGTTATACGACAAAGCACTCGAATGGCATTTGCCCTATACATATCAATCTTGCTATTCATGTCCTTCATGAGAGAGCTTGTGACGATGATAACCTATTTAAAAATTAATGAGATAGAACATTCATAATCTAAGTTAGTAACCCAGATCATAGACCACACCCAAGAATCTAATGAAAAAAGAAACATTTGCATAAGAGCACAAAACCTCGTCTGCAGAGGGAGAGATCTCCTTTATCATCAGGTAGACCATTCTCCTTAATCCCATATCTTTAGACTGAAAAAGCTTAGTCACGGCAAAGAAAACTTCTGTGGCTTCAACCTAACAAAATAAAATTATTAAGAGGCGTCTCTAACATAATTCCACAAATAAGCATGGTGATGGATATCATTCCATACCTTTGTAAACGTCTCTCCCTGATTCAGTAGGTATAAGAGTTTTGTAATAACCTGGAAACAAGATAACAAAACAAGCAGAAGCAGAATTCAACCACTGAAACTAGATGAAAACATAAACATCCTCTAGTTTACGACACAAACCTGTGAACATCTCCTAGCATCTAGTTGAGGGTCATTAAAAACCCTGGCCTCCTGAAGCACAGACCCCTTTTCAATTCCCAGAAAGGGGGAATACTCAGCTGCTCAACAACCAAAACCACATCACAATGTACAATTAACTCGTAATTACATCAATACTAATAAGTAGGAATCATCACAATGCATCACCCTGACTCATCAAATAAAAAAGAAAAACCTATCAAAGAGCTAAAACTATCAACTAATGACAGGAAACTTATTTCACGATCTGCATTGCGAATTATGTCAGGAGAGATCGATTCAAGTATTCACAAAGGATAAGGAATCGAAACGAGAAAGGAGAAACATGAGATTCAATCCAACGATGTTGAGAATTGAGATATCTAAGTAGGCGAACCCTACTATAGCATTTGGAAATGGAAATGAAACGCGGATCTGGAAGCGAAAGAGATTGACCGAGCAGTGGCAATGAATAGAAAGGAAAACGCAAAGCGCGAATAAGAAAGAAAGCGGATCGAATTACGAAAGGAGAAGAAAAGAAGTGCACCTTCGTCGTCGCGGTCATCGTCCTTCTTCACAAGCGGTTGAGCCATGAGCGGTGAATGTGTGAGATCCGTGTGTCTGCGAATGCACCACTCGAGTTTATGAATGAAGCAGTGCTAACCAAGAAGACGAATGAAATTCCTCTCTAAAACGCACGAGGATGCAGATCCAGTTACCAACAATCATTACATTTTCAGCTTCCAATTAATATTTTTTATTTTTTATTTTATTTTTATTTCCAATTTCTGTACGCAGATCCTTCAATATATTCATTCAATTTTTTTATTTTTTATTTTTATAAATATGTTATTGGTACATAACCTACCTTCTTCGTAATAAGTGTTAACAATATAATTGCTAAGGTATATATTTTTTTTGTTGAATACGTTTTTCTTTAATTTCACATTAAATATTATTTAATTATTTTATTTTTTAGAGATTCACTTATTTTAAGATTAAATAATAGTTATTAAGTGATATTTTTAGAGTTTAGTGATTTAGTGTAAAACTTATACATTCCATAAAAAAAATCACTTGTATATATTACTTTTAAGATAGTTATTATTAAATAACAAACTTACCACCTCCAAGTATTATTTAAGATTAAGTTATTAATTAAGTTAGAATAATTATATTTTAATTGTTTTATGCACTTAATAATAATTCAAGTGTGTATTATTTCTCGTTTGTCATAACATGAGGAATTTATATCTAACTATTATACATTTATGATGTTTTGGAATTTTATAGAAAATATTATTAAAGTCATATTTTGTTATTCTACCATGGTTATTATTAATATTTGAATTTTGTGCTAGATGTGAGTGTTTATCGAAGTTTTACCAACTCCATTTAGGTGTTGATAAGCTCGACCCAGTGTAGAAGAAATAGTCTCGAGTCTCAATTCATTTGATTGGTATACGAAATTATCATGTTACCTCTCGACTAAATACTAAAGGATACACTTATTCTCTAGTCTTGATTGTAGGTGGGTGAAGGGACTACCATTTTACCTTTTGACTTAGATATTGAAAAAGTACACTTGTCTTCTAATCCAGAACACAGTACCAAGTTACCTATTGGCTAAATACTAAGAAAGTCCAATTGTCTTCCAATCTCAAGTTACCTATTGGCTTAATATGTTTATATTATTTTTTTATAATTAAATTGAAAATAATTTTTTTAGAAATATTATTTAAAAATTCTACTCTAATAATAGACTAATTTGTTTAAACTTAAAAAAAATTATAAAAAAGTGATTTTTAAGAAATAGAAAGAAATTATTTTTTTACAACATGTAGAAATTACTTCTAATAAAATAAAAAGTTAATTGTTTTAAAATAAGAAGTTTAGATAAATATGTCAAAAATAAAGATTACTTATATCATAAAATGAAAATAAAAATAATTTTTTTTATTTATTAAAAATATCAAACAAAATTAAATAAATTAATAGAGTGAAAAATGAAATAACTTCCTTATTCCCAAAAGTAGGGTCTTATATTTAATTGATTGTATAAACTAAATCTCAAACAATAAATATAGTATAATAATATTAAGAATAAGTTTAAAATATTATAAAAAAATAAATATACATTAACTATGTTATAAATGATTGAATTTCTTTTAGTAAACAACATTATTTTAAATCTTCATTTTCTTGTAATTAAATGTATCATACTACACATGTATAAAGGAAAATCAATAGATACAATATACATATAATAATCCAGTAATGTAAACTAGAGAAATAAAATTATTAATACTAGAGGCGTCGAGGCACTTCGTGCCTCTAATAATTATATACAGACACAATATTAGAAGGTTGTTTGTATTTATTCAAAGAAAATATAAGTTTTCTTTTTATTTTTTTTATATTTGAAAGGTATAATGATCCATTAAAAGTAGAAACCAAAAGTGATTACACATTTTTATATCCCCTTTATAATAGGTATTGATAAAGGTCACACGATAGAATAGATGAGTTTTGTCGGTAAAAGGAAAAGTTATAGATTGAAAAAGAAATGTATGACTTTGACACAAATGGCGTGAGGTATTTATAATTTCATATTCAATTTTCAAAAAAAAAAATGCTAACTATATGAACAATAAGTATTACTCCTGACAAAATATCAGATGCTCGATTCTCTCGAAGCATGACCCTCAAGATTTTCCAATTACTTATAAATTAGTTATGGTAACTTTCAACGAAGAAACGTGCTTATGAAAGATACTTCTGGATAATGAACCAATAGAGACAATAAAGATTGTTGATATAAACATATATGCACGCACCTCCAACCTTTTCATCTTTATTATTATGCACAAGATTTACACAGGAACTTCCTCTAGTTAGAAATGAATGTTACAACTCGTGCTTTCTCCTTCCTCTGTCCAATCAATATTCACAACCTATGTGCATCATGGGAGTTATTCTAATGAATGAATTAATCACAAAAAGTCATAAAAAGAATGGTATCTTTAATTTCTTTATTCCCTCTTGCATTGTTATAATGATATAACAAGCAGCAACAGCCATGGTCTTGATTAAAAATGTCTGGCTAGATGAGATCAGCTGTTACTTTCTTAATCCCTGGTCACATGCAACGCAATGCAAGTTCTGGTTTCTCAAGGTGTGTGCATCCAGCCTCCTTTACCTGAAATTATTAGGTAGTTCTATGCTACCAGATTTTCATGGTCCCAACCGAACCGTATTCAATAAGTGTTGTAATTTATAGAAAAGAATTAATAACACTTAATAATTTCTCCATGGCTTGTTGGCATATTCAGTAGATTGGTCACTGCTTGAGACGGAAGGGTTAAGGCCATATTCACTGGTTGCACCATACTCACTGCTAACCATGCTGCTATCTGCTGCTGGTTTCTTCCTGTACTTCATCATGTTAGCACCGTATAAGTCCCCATCATACTCGCCGCTTGTGCTGCTCCGGACTGCATTTGGCCCAGCTTTCACCCCATCTAGATTAAGGACATCTACTGTCACATCACCCTCCAGTACTCGTACAATCTATTCATTCATTGTATTCAAATTTATCACCATACAAATTACTCATGATTCAAATTAAACAACACAATTTAAAATTAATTCAGCACGGTTTGGGACATAACTTATATGCAGTTTTGAGGTATTTTTAGTGCTAGAGTGCTACCTGACTCATTCTTGGGCGACTCTTTGCTGAGTGCCTAATGCAAGCAGCAGCACAAGACACCATAGAAGCCATTTGGAACTTGTTATATTTACCCTCTAAACGTGGATCCACTAGTCCTTCAAAACTTCCATTTTCCATTGCCTTTGTACAAAGTGGTCTAGCCTGTTCATGTGCATATAGAACAAGTAAACATTAATTAGTTATTTGAGGGGGAAACATTCATAAACTGAAAGAATTAATGTTTGAAACGTGAATTTTCTTTTTCTAAATTTGTGGGGGAATTGGTATACTTACCCAGTCAACCAAAGTATCTTCATCTTCCCCGGTGTGATCCACCGGCCGACGACCTGTTATGAGCTCCAAAAGCATAATACCGAAGGAGAAGACGTCAGATTTGTCAGTTAGCTTACCACTTGATGCATACTCAGGAGCCATATACCTGAATTAATTCAAATAAACAAACTCATTACACCAAATTCACATTCATTGCTTCAAAATTGTAATAAACATTCATATATAGGTTTGTTTACAGTTTAATTTCTTACCCGAATGTTCCCATTACACGAGTAGAAACATGAGTGTTGGTGTCCTGACTAAACTTTGCCAACCCAAAATCTGCCACCTGAACGAATACAATATTGTTAATTAAGTATCCAGAAGAATCAGGGGACAATTTTAGATTTTGAAATTCGACCGATATACGTACTTTGGCATCGAAGTTGTTTTCAAGTAGAATGTTTGCACCCTTTATGTCTCGGTGAATGATACGAGGGTGACCTAGTTAATGTTCGAGATCACAAGTTATTAACGTTGATTTCATCGCTAATCAACTAACGAAAAAAAATTTTCGTACTGATTATTTATGAGAAGATAAGCCTGTTTATATGACTTACAATCCTCGTGTAAATAAGCAAGTCCTTTGGCGGATCCAATCGCAATTTTGAGCCTGGTACCCCAATCCATGACAGGTCGACCCTTTCCTGAAAAGACAAATAGTAACTGATTAAGTTTCTAGTAACTAAGAAGAGGACTAAATAATTTAATTTGTATATATACAGTGAGTTTAAATAAATTTCTTCAAAATCACTTGTAGTAAAAGAAATTAAGAAAGGAAAATGAGATAAAGTGTAGAAACCATGAAGGTGGTATTCAAGGGTCTTGTTAGGCACAAACTCATAGACGAGAAGCTTTTTGGCTTCAGACAAGCAATAGCCGACAAGTGAGACGAGGTGGCGATGGTGGACACGGCTGATAATGTCAACCTCAGCTTGGAACTCTCTGTCTCCTTGGCCTCCGGTGGATTTGAGGCTCTTGACAGCAATTTCCTTGCCATTGGGGAGAAAGCCTTTGTGGACATATCCGAAGCCACCCTGGCCGAGGAGGTTGCGTTGGGAGAAGCCAGCGGTGGCAGCAGAGAGCTCGTCGTAAGTGAAGGAGCTTTGGTTGAATCCAAGTGCCAGTGTGGGGTGTGGGGGTGGCAGCACAGGACCTGAGTAACTGGAGTTGCTCACGTCACTACTGATTCGTGCTGCTCCCCAACCTGCTCCTGGTGGCGGAGGAATGTTAAGAACGTGCTCACCCTTATTCACCCCCCCATACTGGTTTGGACCTCCTCCTGCTGCAGGACGTTTATAATACCCATCATCTGCATGTAAGTGTAGTGCTATCAATATCATATGATATGATGTAACATTTTAGGTGTACAAAAATCATTTTTTATATTTTGAATCGTTAATAAAAGTGTATATATATGGCATTGCATTGCATACTCACCGGCGGGTTGATTGGCGTAGTAAACGGAAGTCTGAGGTCTCTTCTTCCTTCTTGAACACGAAAAGATGATGATGAAAAGGAGGAGGAGCAAAATCCCAACTCCAGCTACAACTCCTATTATAAATGGTAAGTTCGATGAATGGCCTCCACCTCCACTCTCTCCGGATGCATGCGTGTGTGACTTGGGTGGAGACAACCGGTGGTGTGGAGGCGGAGGAGAAGAAAACTCACGGTTGTGTGGGGGCGGCGGGGGGTGGTGGCTTCCTGACTCCTTCTCCGGAGGCGGTGGAGGAGACTTCTTGTCACCGCTGGGCGGCGGAGGCGACGATGGAGGAGGGGGTGGGGGTGGAGGAGGGGAATGCGAAGAAGATGAATTGGGTGGAGGTGGTGTTGGGGAATCCTTATCGGAATCTGAAGCCATTTGGATGTCTTCTTTTCCTTCTCCAACAAATGAAAGTTAAGGACCCGGAGAAGCCTGACCCGCTCCCTCGAATAATTCTGATACGTGACAAACCTGCAACAAACAAATACATGCATGATTGTGAAGGTATATGGCAATGGCAATGGCAATGGCATGGCGTGTTGGAAGGGAGAGAAGAGCATGTTACCTGAGAGCAAAGGACAGGAGGATTCTCAAAAGAAAATGATGAACAATGCATGCTAATAGGGAACCGAGAATTCGTGTCACCTCCTACAATGCAGCGCAATACTTCCACTGCTTATTCCTATTTTTAACTACTCATGCTCTTATCTACTTATAGACTTACAATTAAACCAAAAACTTTACAACCTTTTCATAAATAATCGCGCGTTGTCCATGTTCTGGATTCTGTTTCTCGCAACCAATTCAAAATGACAAGTTGCAAAACTCACAATGGCTCAACGTCGTACTTGTCTGGCATGATGCACGTACGTGCTGGCTGAAGTTCATCCTTGAACTAATATTTTTTGTCAAACTAGTAGGAAAAAAAGATAAATATAAAAATTATATAAATAATAAGTAGTTATTACAGCTGCGTGTATGATTAGCTAAAAAATGATTAAAAAGGTAAAATGAGAAGAAAATAGGTTATTACTGCTACAAAATAAAATAAATAATTTAAATAAAAATGTATACTAATTCATTTTTGTATTCTGTTTATTTTAGGTTGAGCCATGTGTACCCCATACTTTATTTTTAAATATTAATTATTAATAATAAAAGTATGATTTAGTTATTTTTATTTTTCTAATTTTATAAATTTCTTTTTAATTTCTATAATTAAAATATTTTTATCTTATTCTTTATATATATATATATATATCATTTTTTTTCTTTAGTTTTTATAGTCGTATAAATTTTTTCTTTAAGTCCTAATAATTTTTTAAACTTTCTCTTTTAATCACTATAATTATATTTTTTTAGTTTATATAAAAATAGACGAAAGAAAAAAAATGGCAACTATAAAGACCGAATCATAAAGTTTATAAAATAATAAGAGCTAAAAAATAATTAAACCTAAAAAAAAATATTCAGAGTGCTTCGTCTTTGGGACCAATTTGAAACGCAACACCTCTCTGTTTTGGAACTGCTTGTCCGTACAATGCCTTCGGTTGAAAATTATCGTCCTCAGATTTTCGTTTCATTCATTAGTTTTCTCCCAAAAATCGGTATGCTCCTCCTGAATTCTTATTAAAAGTTTAATAGTTTTTCCATCCTTAATAAAACGAGATATCATGACACAATTGAGCACCAAAGTTCCATACTCCATACCTAACAAAGAAACAATATAATAGAATAAAAATTAAATATAAGTACCACTTACAAAATATAAAATAATCTAAGCTTGAGACTAACGCTCACCGTCAACCATAGGTTTTCCAAATGGGGTGCCAAAAGAGGGTTTCTAAAATTCCAACCACTGTAGGAATCTGTCCATTTCAATGTCATTATCAGTGAATCGTATGGCATGGTTTACAAAGACTCTCATCTTACTATGTTTCAAACCATCAAAAATATCGGGTAAAATTAACAAAAGGAGATTGGTGTGTTTCCTCACTTTAGAGGGTAGTCGACCAAAATCCGTACTATAAAGTGAAATCAGATGTAAAGGCGACAAGGAGCTCAGCTGTTGAATACCCCATATAGTTAAAGACTTGTTAAATAATTAGCAGCGAAAACTACACACAAAAAGATGGAAATGGAAGGGGGAAACAGTAGCCATCCAATAGAAAGTTATCTCGAGCATCGCCAGACAGCTATATTCTTTATAAATTCATTCCAACGTCAGTATACACCTTGCAAGAATGTAGCAGTGAATAGCATTGAAGTACAGGATTGTAGGCGCAAATATTGCGTAACTATCCGCTTGCTCAAGCTAAACACCTCAAAATTTAAGAAATCGAATAGCTCTACAACTCCGAAGTCTAATATATGTATATTTCATTTCCCCATCTGCAGCTCCTCCTTGTATTGGGATAAACATGACCTCACAATGCATGATTCAGGTAACTGAATGCCCCTTGTTGTCAACTCGAGACTGAATCAAATATAACCATAGGTTAATAAAACAAGAACTAACATAGATGTTAGGATTAGGGTTGGTCATTGGTTTGGTTTGATTTTTAAGCAAAAAGTCATCCGATTTGATCATAAAAATAAATTCTGATTGTAAAAATAAAAATAATTATTTATTTATCTAATGACCTCTTACTGACATACTAAAATGACTTCAAGTAACAGAGTATACAAAAATCAACATGCATACTCACGTTGTCAAGGGGATGGCAGGCTATCATTAAGTAAGAATCCGTGAACCTTATATAAATATATACATACTCTTTACTTTATCCCAACAGAAGAAAGGCTTTCCTGGCTGGATGGCTGAGCTGAATTTCCCACAGTTGCTGCAGATGCTAAATGGTTTGGAATAGCAGCTATAGTGCCCACAGGCCCTGAAATTGGTGGCCTTTGGGGATTCATGATGATTTGAGGTTTTGGGACTGAATTTGCCAAATTCATAGCACTTCTATTGATTGGTAAGTTCGGCGGTACACCTTTAGATGAGGAAGCAGGTAAACCAAGCCGGGATGCAATTATCAAAGCCCGCTCATGGTAAAGCTTCTGCCTTGACTGGACCAAATACTCTCTTACCCTCATCACAACATTCTCCATATCATGGAAAAAAGCCAACTTGGTCTCCAATTTATGCAACTGCAAGTTGAAGGAATTTACCAACAAAGACAAAGGAATAGAATATACAACTACAATACACAGCTTTTCCGGGCCATTCAGTTACCTGCTTTTCTATCAACAAAGAAGCAAGTTGTCTAATTTGATCTTCTTCCTGTTCAGCTAGAATTTTTGCCTTTACAACTGCCGCAGCAAGTGTAGAAACTGCAGCCTTTTTTAATTTCTCAAAACTGTTATCATGTTTTTCCTTCTTACCATCATCTTTCACTTTTGTGCCATTTTCAGTGCGATCTCCACCTGCTACTGGATTAGGATTTCATTCATTGCTCCATTATGTCCTTTAATACACTTTTCAAGAATAATTGCATTTCTTGTGTGTGTGTGCCCGTGTGTGGTAGAGAGAGAGAAGGGGGGGAGGGGGGGAATACCTGAGCTATAACCATTTTCAGCCCCAGAATTTGATTTAACTCGATGTGGAAGTTCATTCTTATCCAAAGGCATAGAAGAAGACATCATATCTACATCCTTTTCTGCCACAGTGTGTTGGGATGAAATTGATGTAACTTGTGACTGAGATCCGTTCTTCTCCAGTGGCAAGGAATTAGAAATCAAATCAACATCCTTTTCTGAAATTGTTGGATCAAGAGACTCGACAACTGGATTGGTACATAGCAGTTTTTTAGACTTGCTCTTATCTGAGGGCATAAAATCAGACACAGCGTCAACATCTTTTGGTGTCTCTACAGGCTGTAGATGCGTTTCAGATAGATTGGATTTAATTGACTGTTGAAGTTTATTTTCTGCAGGAGGAGCATTAGACACGTGTCCATCCTTTAGTTCTTCCATTGGCTGGCAACTCTCTGTGAGTGAAGTTCCCTCTCTTAAATTGGAACTGGGTGAAACTTTATCCTTGAGTGTAGAACCATTTGAATCATGCCCATTACTTGATGCTAAATCACTGGGAAACTTTAAATTGCCAGGATCCTTACAATTATTATGTGCAACCTCCTCATGATCAATCATTGCTTGCTCCTTTAAAACAATTGATTTATCCAATACACCATCATCTTGAGAACCCAACTGTCGGTTAACTTCTAAAGCATTATCTTTATGTTTCTTGTCATTGTGATCATTTGATAAAGCATTATCATCTAACATTAATTTTTCCGGTTTTCTGTCATCCTCGTTTCCCTCTCTCATAGAATCCCTATGATCCATGCAGACACAACATCAAAAGTTCATCAACAATTGTACAAATTATGTAATTGTCAAAAATGCAAAATCTTAACATAATATCATTCCATACCTCTCAGATATAGTTGGTTCCTTATCATCGAGTGGATTTTCCAGAAGAAAGCAATGCCTTGCAGAAAGCACAGTGCCAGGAGAATTAACAGACATGGACTTTAAGGAGCTATGAGCTGAAGCTACAGCCATATCAGAACCCACCAAGCGTGCAAGGAAAACTGTCTGTAGAAAGAAATGTGATGCTAATCCACTAGAGTGATTGCATATGGCGGAAAAAATGGGAGACTACACAAAATGACACAAGAATTGAAAGGAGGGCAAATTTTACATGATTAAGTAATGAACAAGATAATTTAAAAGCATAATAAAAACTAGCAATACTGAAAAGTTTGTCATCTATGAGCAACCTGCATAATGAAGCACACAAATAGGAGGGTCAGCTGTTCAGGGAGGGAATAGCACGATGCTGTTACAGCAAAACTTGATAAATAGTTTAAGATTTCTGAAGAAACATTGCCATCGTTAATATGGTTGATGACAAGCATGCCCCCATTTAATCATAATCAATAGTGAAATTTTCTCTAGAACGTGACCTTCAAAACCAGAAAACCATCATCAAGTACAAGAGTGTCTCAAATGTCAGTTTAGAATAAATTCATTTCAAACAAGGAAGCTGGAACACATTATGTAATAAAATACATATAAGAGAAATTTTTAAAAATTCAAGATGCAACACGGCTATATGACTGGATCCATAAATTTTAAGTTGTGGAAGCAATATTTATTTACACAAATTAGTATTTGTTATACATTATACATGATAAAAAATTACTTGTATATAATTAAAATTTTAAAAACATTTTTTATTTTTAAATGATATTATAATCAAAATTCATAATAAATAAATATATTTAAATATATAAACTAAAATTTGAATTTATAATTAATAATTTAAGATTTGATATAAAATTATTTTTAATTATTGATAATTTCTTAAATAAAACTATTAAAATTAAATTAAAAAATAGAGATAAAATATAGCATACTGAAAGGCTAGACAATTAAAAAATTCATTTATACACATAAAGATAAAAATAATATAACTTGACATAATTGAGAGAATTTTTTTTATTTAGTTGCAAAAATAATGTGTAAAATTCACATTAAAAAAGAGAGAGAGAGAGAGAGAGAACTATAATATTAAGAATATCTATTTTTTTTTTTTGGTAAAGATAGGAAAGATTACAAAGATGGTCGCAATGAGGATTGAACCTAAGTCCTCATGTTTCTAACTACCCCAATCCCTTCCCACCCAACCACTAGGCTAACCCAAGAATATCTATTTGAGAGAATGAAAATAATGGAACTAAAATAAATTAGCAGGAGCAATATTTATAATTAAATTAATTATGGCATTTTAAATTATAAGAATAATTGTAATTATAAGTATGTATTGATAAGAAGTCAGTGGGGGCAGTTGCCCCCAGTCTCTTGTGAGTAGTTTCGGCTACGATACATTAACACAATAGAAATGCGCAATACGACACACAAACAACCCATAAATGCACAATATTTGTAGAGACATTCACATTACTAATTGCTCATGAATGCATAAACATATCAATAATTAAAGCACTACTTAAGGTCATATCTTTGGGTGATGTTGTACTAAACACACCCCTTAAACTAAAATGTAAAAAGCCCAAAGAGGCCACAATTAAGGTGGCTATCCAACACCCCCCCCCCTCTCATGTCTACGGTTGTAGACTTGGAGCGTGGCAATTAATGCGGGGGTGACTAATTAAGACAGCATTCCAACATAAACATGTCACAAAGAATACAATTTGAAATCTTCCTGCCCAAGTCAGAATGTCACAAAATACATTATCAGTCCTATCCTAATATCAACATTGTTGTTTGGGAGATAGAATCTGACAATGACAAGCCCTAACTCATCATTTGAAAGCGAGATGACCTTTTTTAAGAATATACACTATCAGGTTCCTTTTAACAATTAATAAGTTCATTAATTACAGAACTGTGTCTTAACCTGTATCCATGGAGTATTGGAGACATATCAAACAATTCTTTTTAAAAAAATAATGGATACTTTTTTGTATACATATTAGGATGCATTGGAAGGGTATCAGTATTGGATATAAGTTAAACACCAATACTTTTGCATTTTTGAAGTATTTGAGCTTCATAGATTTCAAACCATCCATTTTTCTTAAAAAAATAAAACTCAAAAATAAACTTTAGACACTTGTTGTCATGCTCCAAGAGTGTTTAAAAATAAAAAAAAGATATAGAAGTACTGATGGTAGAGAACCCACGTAGACTTACCAGTGCCATGACAGGATTACCCACTTCAGAAAATGATGATGGTCCTTTGGGGCCAGGAGAATAACCGATAGATGTAAATGCTTCCTCAAGAGCATTTAGAGCAGAGTCACTGCCTGCTTCCTGACCAAATTTTAATTTAGCATCATCTTCTGATTTAGAAGTTTGTTCACAAGTTTTCACATCATTAACATTGCCTGGCTTTGGAGTAGTCTCATGATTAACTTTCATTTTATTCACATTATCGGCATTAGCAGAGTCATTTTGTAGAGTTGGCACTTGGTCTTCAATGCTATCACTAATCTTATTCTCATAAAATTGTAAAGCATCTTTGTGGACAGATGAATCATTGTTAGAAGTAGCTGGATCTATATTTTCTTTGAAACTTGCATCAACATCATCACCACAATCAACAAAGGCATCCTCAATTGGCATTTGAACAAAGTGTAATATGCATTGAGCTTTTGATTTTGTTGCAACGTGTTCTGCAATTTCATTCCAGTTTTCTTTATAAAGTTCTAGGGCTTCAAGGAGCAAGAGGGTCTCCTGATCAGTCCACTTTCCACCACTAATCCCTGGAACTTCTGCTGGCTCCATGAGTATAAAATCCAAAGAGGACATGCTAGAGCCAAATTTTCTATTACTGAAGCAATTGGTACATAGATCAAAGTCTGCCTGTCAGACACATCATACAACTGAGTAGAAAATTAAATAATTACAACCCTAGCCTTCCAACAAAACATGACCAATGGCCAATATTTTAACAAATGGTTAAATATATGACCAGTTTGTTGCCAACTAAATGACACACAGACAGCAAAATCAATCAACACAAACAAACAGCCACTGAACCAACAAAATCAATCAACAGATTCAATGACCAGACAAATACCCTCTCTTGATTAATGCATTATTTTTGAAAGTCAAGTGGTATTTGGAAAGGCCAGTGGATTTTCTGAGTTATCAAAATTGATGGAGTCTTTAAAAAACTAACTTCTGCATATGCTACAAACTAGTAAGATTTAATTCAATACAGAAAATATTATTGTAAACTGATTCAGTTTCTTGTTCATCTATTATGGAGAAATTATAAAAGTACAGAAGTTACTGAATAAAAATCCTGAAAGCAAAATATAATAATAATTCAATCCCTTGATGATGAAGGACCTACAACTACACCAACAGATGTAAATAATCTACAACTTTTACAAGATTATCAGGATTGGGAAACAAATTTTGAGTTGTAGACTTTAAATCAAAACTTAAAAATAAACACTTGACTATTAAGCCAGCTTAGATGTCTTCAACATACTACAAGACTATGCAATTCAACAAACCATCCAAATTATAGGCAAGAACCTGTTTCTGGCAATGGTATCGTTTGCGAGAACAGTCACCAGAACAAGAGTTGCAGTGGTACTCAACTGCTGGTCCCTCCTGTTTCACTAACTCTCCAACAACTGTGGTGTCTGGTAACAAGCCAGAGGTCATTGCGGGAGTCATTAGGCCAGTGTTCTGAACAATAGGTGGGAATGGCTGACTTTCAAAGTGATACAATTTATCCAGCAAGGAATTCTTTTCTGCTACTCCATCATCATTAGTGCTGGCCGCAGCAGAACCCATAGAAGGGAATGGGTGGAAATTAATTAAACCCCAGTAATCCAGAAACTCCATTACCTCTTGCCTGGCATCCAAGTCTCCAGCATTAAGCTCTGACAAGTCTTTCAATTCAATCAATACATTCGGATTTGCATGAAACCTCTTCATAATATAATTCCTTATCTCCATGTATTTATCAGGAGTCCGATTTACAGTTTTGCCATTAAAGAAAGAAGGCAATGAATGCTTCTCAACTGGATGGATATTAGTCCATGAAAACCAACCTGAAATTAATTGCAGATACAAAATGGTTAATTTAAGAATAATTTTATTGACCTTGAGATTAAAATTCATATCTTCTTACTACAATTAAATATTGTATAGTTGGTAAACCAACAACTTCAAATTTTTAATCATCTTTCAAGATTTAAGAGAGATCCAACTCGACACTTAAGTTGCAAACATTTTCATATTGGCATTCTTAACATGTTGGACAATGGAAGCACTGTACTTGCAACAAATTACAACTAAAACCCAAAAGCAAATACAATTGGTACGCCTACTATTCCCTACTTTATTGAAGGATGATGATTACTGTGGTGTCCTCTTTTTAATGCTAAGAATGTTCTGGTAAAACAAATAAAAATACAAATACTATGTCTGTAATCACAAAGTTCTTTCAGGTATTTTTATTAAGGCTGGAAAAACAATATGAAAAAAAGAAATTCATCACGAAACCTAAAATCTACAGCAAGGTGTTACATTATCAACAATTGTACCGCAAATTTTAGAATTAAGAACGACAACACAGAATTCTCTACATCAACCTTTTTCTTTAGCAAATACTACTCTAAATTACTAGAGGGAGCATAATTTAAAAAACTGCATCATTCACCAGTTCAGACAAGTTCAGCGGAAACACACCTTTGCAGAATACCAAATGAACAAATAGCACACAAAAATAAGAAAATAAAACAATTAACTCGTGTATATTTGCACATGTACCAATAAATTAGGGTTCCGGAATAGGCACATAATCTCACCGCAATGAGTGGGAACCACGTGAGCATTGGAATCACGAGATCTAACAGCTTCAAATTGAGCTTCAGCCGCAGCCACAAGAGCCTCCCACTCGCTCTGCTTCTTGAGTTGCTCGGTCAGTGCCGCGGAATCCAGCGCGCGGTCGGATTGTTTCGCAGCGGCGGGGGCAGAAGCGGGAGCGCCACCGGACGCGGTGGCGGCAGGGATTTGACGAGCCCTAGTCAAGGGACCGTTGTGGAAAGGAGGAGTGTGCGGAGGCAAAGCCTTGTCACGAGAAATGCGTTTGGAAGGTGTGGACGAAGAATTCGAGGCGCTGAGAGCGTTGGCTTTCCGCTTCTGAGTTGCGGCGCGGCGCCTCGAGGAAGCCGGTTCCGGTGCCGGCGAATCGGCGGCGTTGGACGGCGGGAAAACGCGCTTCTCCTCCATGGCTCAGTGCAAACGCGCTTCGTTTCCGCGGAAACACGTCACCTTAATTCATCGCCAATTGCAACGACTTGCAGAGACGCCATATCTAATATCTTAGTCGCGCTTTTCGTGCTTCATCGCTCTGGGTAGTGTAGTGGTTAACGGAAAGGAAAATAATACTAACAGTGTTTTGTGCAAAGTGTGGCACTGGTGTATCGTATTAAGCTGCACCCTTCTTCCTCATTGGTTGACTCAGTCTGGCTATTTATGTCCTTGCACACAGGAGATAATTATTACTCTGCATCAATTTCTTTCAAAAGTATATTTTTTTTATGAGTAAGAACTGCCTCAACAAAGAAGTTAGTTGATGTGCACAATAGAATACTGAAAGAAAACATCATGATTGTCACTATATTTTGCAAATCAACATGTTTTAAGAAGTGATCATTACTATAATGAACTAATTTTATAACTATGATAAATCGTATCATACAAAATAATATAGTAATCTTATTTCAAAACTTTGTCATTAGTATGAAAGTGAATAAATAATTCAACATTGATGCTAGTTTAATTTTTACATGGGCTAGATAAATCAATAATCCAACTCTCCATATGATCGCAAAACTCACTCTTCATGTATTACCAAATAAGTTATCATTAATGTTGATTGTTTACTAAATATGTAAGTGTTTTTATGTGACTTGACAACTATCAAAAGTAATTTAAGAGACATAAATAACAATCATACATGTCTTTTTTAACTAAATTGTTTATACTTTAATCTTAATTTTGAATATAAAATATACTAGATTAATATATATATATATATATATATATATATATATTTATTGAGGAGGGATCCGTTTATTCTAAGAATAAGTTTACCTACTCTTATTTCGTTCAATAACTCATGTTTTACATCAAATTTTAACGATCCAACCGTCGAAATTAAAATTCTTAATGCATAGATCAAGTCTGTAAATTTTTTAAAAATTTGAAAATCATTTGATATTTCATTTTATTAATTCAAATTGATAGATAATTATAAAATCATTTTATACATTGATTTGAATTAATAAAACGAAGTATCAAATGGTTTTCATTTTTTTTAAAAAAATTACAAATTTGATCTATGTATTAAGAACTTTAAATTTAATAGTTAAATTGTTAAAATTTGATATAGAATATGAGTTATTAAATGGAATAAGTCTTGATAAACTTACTCGTAGAGTAAACAGATCCCTCCTCATATATATATATATATGGGAGTGTATCAAGTGAAAGAGTATTTTATTGTGAGGGATGAGATGATAAAAATATAACTCTTAGATTAATTTAACGAATCAGATTAAATTAAATAATTAAATCCCTAATCACTCAATACTTCTATGCTCCTTTCTCTATTACTCTTTTTTTTTTCTCCATCGCCTCCTCCTTTTTATTCTCTCATATCCTCCTTTCTAGTCAACATCAATCATTGGCACAAGCCTGCAAGGTAAGCTTATGTCTCATTCTCCATCTTCTATCTGCAACAATGGCGAGCCGTGACTGAACGATGATAGATAGTTTCCATGACGGCGGCAAGTTGCGACTGAATGACGATGCGAATCATCTTTCTCATGACAGGTAGGAGCTTTTTGTTCGATGGTTGGGGCTTTGAGATGGTGAATCAATGTGACTTAGATTTGGAAAAACCTGGACAGAGGGGAAGGATGAAGGGCATGTGACAGGTTTTTAGGAAGTTTTAATATGATTCGTTAAATTAATCTAAGGGTTATATTTTAACCTTTTTCATTTCTCACAATAAAATACTCACTCACCTTATACGTTTCCTATATATGTGTGTGTGTGTGGAAGTACCCACTTATTTCAAGAATAAGTGTTAATAGACTTATTTAAACTGTTAATTTAATAGATTTTAATGCATAAGTCAAGTCTGCAAATTTTAAAAAAATTTGAAAACTATTTGTTACTTTGTTTCATTAATTATTCAAACTAATGTATAAAATATTTTTATAATTATCTGTCAATTTAAATTAATGAAACAAAGTATTAAATAATTTTTAAATTTTTAAAAAATTTGCGAACTTAATTTATATATTAAAAATTTTAAATTCATTCAATATTTGAATCATTGAAATTTGATATAAATCATAAATTTTTAAGTGAAATAAGTTTAAATAAATATATTCTTAAAGTAAAGTAAATGAATCTCTCTTCTCTTTTCATATAT